TGCTATGGAGGCTAGCCTCTACCAGGCTTCGGGAGGCGGCTGGAAAGAGTAGAAATTAGCCAAATAGAGAGATAACATACCGAAGTAGTTGGCCCACTAGAAAGCACAGTTTGCCGCACTCGAAAAAAAAAAACTGTACTTTCTAGCGGTCCAAATCCTTCGGCATGTTATCTCTCTATTTTCCAATTTCTACTTTTCCTAGCCGCCTCCCGAAGCCTGGTAGAGGCTAACCTACACTTGCAATCTTTACAATAAACCAAAGAATAATTTTAAACGGCTCTAGGAGGTCTATGCGTTGCAAAAGTAATAGAATTTTCTTTAGCTCTACGTGTGTCCCAGGACCCAAGGGATGGCCGCTGATGTTGTTGTAACTTTATCCAAGGTTTCATAGCCAGTCTGAGAACTCCCAGCACACCCCATGGTACCATTTGGATCGTATATTGAAAGTTTATGGGCGCTGCTTCAAACATGGTTGTGACCCAGGCCGTTGGTTTCCAATGGAACACGATATGTAATGTTTCAGAGAAACGTTTTGTTGCCTCCTCAAACTTCATTGTCCATCAATTCTCTACAATATCTAAAAATCATGTATCCCACCATAGCAATTACCAAAAACCGCAAAACTTCTCACGGAATGCGTTTTCATATTCTAGTTAAGGTTTACCCAATCCATCTTCGTATATTCTGACAGAAAAGAAGCGATCGATCTAAATGTTTAATAGATACGTCCAAAAAGTCACGTACGTTACATAGTACAGAAGCGCGCGTTATATGTTAGAGGGGCCACGCCCCACCGCCCACGAGGCAAAGCATAGCGCCATCTTCTCTTCTCAAGCAAACTGTCTCATAGTCTTCAGAACTTATAAAAACTCTTAAGGTGATATTAGAACCATGTACGTATAAGATTCCGCTATGAAAACCATAATTTAAGATGTATAGGCCCTTGCAGAGGCCTTGCATGGCTGTATATGGCTTTACGATATAAGGTTCGCCCCCGTCGCACAAAAATTCTTCCTCGTCTCTGGCTCCTCATAAACATGATGTTATAAAAACACCACTCTTTCCCGATATCTCTCTCACTTGTTTCTTTACACTATCAGTCGTAGACTACGATTTGATACATTTGACAGTTATGTGTTCTTGCCTTTTGAAAACAAGGTCAGATAAATTATCATGGTCAGAAAGATAGCGTTCGCAGCAGGCTAGCAAAAACAATACCGTGGTTCAATTTACAGGAAAAGAATGCACTTTTATCAACTTAACAGTAGTGTTAGCTTAAATACAAGTTGGGGAAGTGTCTTACCTCGAAAATTGTCGTCCTTTCGGGAAATTCTAGCGGCGAGGGGGCAACGATGCTTCCGTGAAGAACAACTGCTCCAAAAAGAGAGATGGTAGCAGGGGAGGGTGAAATCTATCCGGGTTGCGGAACAGATGTTTTGTGTGACGTGACGCGTCTCCCCGCCCCGTCCTGACCATATGTGGGGCTCACCCGCAGCTGTTGGGATCCATCGAAAAGGGATAAACTTGGAGGCTCTTCATGGAGGTTTGACGAACTCGTGAATAGTTGTTTTGATGGGTTGGGAAATACCAATCGTCATAGTCTAGAACTAGTATTTCTCATTTCGCCAATTTCATCGTCTGTAAATTTTTATTTTTATTGTTAAAACAGAACTTAAAAGGTATCGGAAATATCATTCTATTCGTTTTAATATGAACGAAAAGACGAGGATGACTTTGACTTTTAAATGATCCTACCGGATTCCTTTGGAACTGCAGTTTGTGGGCAAAATTGTTGTCAGCAAATGTCACTGCTGTATAATACTCACTGTCGCTATGAATAATATCTTTATTATGACCGTTACTATGAGAACAAGTACATAATAATGTATTATAATAGATGACTAGCGTTGCAGTCTGTGACTAATATGATAAAGAATTGTCTGAGTGTGCCCACGCACGTCTGCTTTTTTACAAGGACATTTCCCCCTCTTAGAGTCTGCACGCGAGGTCTGACTAAACGTTCGAATAATAGATTTACAAATGACGGGCTACTTTTACTTTGACACTCTGCCAGCTTGGTAGTTCCTTTTAGCAGTGACCTCAGATAACCCTGACAGTTAGGAGTGATTGCTAGGCTAACTTCACTGGTATCCTGGAGATTTGTTGAATTGGTGCCTAGCTGAGGTTTATAGGAAAACGGTAGGGAACGTAAAAATGAAACCCTCTTATTGTATCCCAATCCATTCTTTTCAAAGAGTTGACAATTCATCCCCCACTGCCTTTAAATAAGACGTCAAACCCCCAAATAGCTTGACTAGAATAGTATAGTATAGTATGATAGAATAGTACTTAGTTACCATGTTTTTCTTACCTATTTATGTATTACATATTCACTCTCTGGATACGTATACGTACGTTATTAGTTTTACTAGGTAGAGGTAGAAAGTTAGATGAGTAGAACGTATAACGTCATTATAGTATATGGTTTTATACCATTCCTCAATACATTCTGTACTCCTTATTCTTGTCAACGACTGTTTGCAATTAGTCCTCAGGCATGAACTTGGAATGGAGCTATGCTATATCTAATATGTCATTTGATTGGTATCATGAAAGTTCATCTGTGTTGGTAGTTACATGTTTAAAGTTAAAACTTTTGATCCAACACAAAAATTCTCTCACCTAGAGCTTTCAACCAGTCACTCTGGTCTTCCTCAGTAGACTGACCCAGTGAAGCTCTAAAAGCCAGGTTTCAGGAACATACACGGCCTAGTTCTGCCAGTTCAGAGGTGTCTCAACACATTCACATAGAGTCACCCGGACACCATGTCTCACTTGACACTGTAAGGATTTTAGACACTGAACAAGACTATTTCTTGAGAGGGGTGAAGGAAGCCATTTACATCAGGGCCCATCACCCTACATTGAACCGCGACGGGGGCCGACATCGTCTACCAGATACCTTTGACCCAGTGTTGACGTCACACTTCAAAGAAGCCACGTGACAAGCTTCACTGGGTCAGTCTACTGAGGAAGACCAGAGTGACTGGTTGAAAGCTCTAGGTGAGAGAATTTTTGTGTTGGATCAAAAGTTTTAACTTTAATCATTTGATTGGTATTTGCTTCAGTCTTCATCTTAAGTACGACTAAGCTGGATTTTCATATATATTATATTTTGTGTTTCTTATAGACTCGTAAACAAAGGTCAGTGTAAAAGCCGTCTCTCATGTGTATGTGTAAAACAAGGAATGTGTTTAGTCACTAACACGTGTTGCTCCAGTGCCTACGTGACTGTAGCCCTCTAGATCTTGTCAGATGGACTCTAGAGTTATATTACTACCATCAAATATATCTAAAATAGATCAGTACATGTCAGTATTCATTTTGGCTTCAGTAATCATAACTGACATCAAATGCCATGCGCTCTTGATAATATACAATGAAAAATACATTTGTATGTATAAAATTTGTTATTAACCTAAAACATAAAATTGATAACTTGAACTCGTTATGATAATAGAATCGGTGAGTGCTAAGTACATTGATAAGTACATTGCATTTAGAATAGGGAAAAAACTACAAGGATTCTAAATTCGCAATAGCGCCAGGTTAATCCCTCAGGTAAGAATATACAAGAAAATTGTTTGAAAACAGCGCGGTACATTTATAAAACCTTTTGCACAAAATGCCGGAGATGCGTTACTTTAGATGCATTAGCCATGTAGAAGAAGAATTGCGTAGCCTCTTCTAGACTCTCTTTACTGTTTGCCGTTTGTTCCCACATTCGCTTGATCTGCAGCTAGGGAGAAAACAAAAGACTTCGAAATTAAATCACGATATGGCATTATAACCAGAGATGGACCGAAGACAATAGGTTTCCGAAAGGTATCGTGACATATCAGAAATTACATAGCACTTGCTTATTTGACATAATACTTTTCTGAAACCTGCATGTAGAAGAATTATTTCCAAATGTTTCAGAATATTTTCATTTTACTGTCCTTATGAAAAGGAGCATACACACCTGTTTTAGCGATGACAATGGTACCGTCCGGTTGCTGGACAGCACGTTGGCCAGGCTGCAGGGCTGTAGCTTTGTTACCGCTGTACACCACGATAGCAGGCGACTGAAAATGAAAATATAGAATGTTTAAGTTATTATGGTGGGCATGGAATGTAATGTATGTATCGAATTTTGCAGTTCAGCCTACCGGCTGCAAAAAGTTACTAGACTAGAGACTATACCGGAGAGCTGACAGAAGCCTGTTGGAGACTACACCGCAGCCCTAGAAGAAGCCTGTATGTCGAAAACGTGAATGATGTCCTGTGGACATGTGTCCAAGGTATCCCCATACCAAATTTCAGGTCATTCAGATTTAATACCAAGGCTTCGGTTAAAAAAATTCACATTCTACCATAATGTCAAATGTCATGTCATTTGGCCAAGGAATTGAATCCATTTAACGAAATGGCAGGAGAAGAAGGAGAAAAAGAAACGAGGAAAACAATAAATTTCCTCCATGCCTATGGTATGGACTGAAATATAATAACAGCAACCGTAAAATCAAAAGTACAAACCTCGTGCCCATGGTACCCGGTGCACAGCCCCCTACAGCTGACGATGGCGGCCACCACGCCCAGCACCAGCTCCAGAACACCCAGGATCAGCAGCACCACGGCCACGGCAAGGTTCACGGTCTGCATGGGGCGGGAACATGGAGCGAAGGTCGAATGGTTAGAACTGATTTGGATTAATAAAGTTCTATGTGAGTAATGAAGTTGAGTTTAAAGACATCCAATGCAATTTCAGGGCGGCAAAACTGGATTTTCAGTCAGTATTCTGGTCATTCTTTTGATGTTGAATCAACCCTATCACATAGCATACTGGTATCTGTGAGGAAACAATGCAATGTAGCTGACGAAAAACGGTTGCTTATTTTATATGGTAGGCTGCAGCTGATTCTAGCTATTTACCCAAAGAACAAAGGACTCCTCATGTAGCATGTTTGGGGGGCATTTCAAAGGTATGAAATTTTGACGAAATTGTGCTAAGAAATGACAGTAGCTGTCAATATAAGACAGACTTCTTTTTCGTTTGTATTTTTCTTTTGTCGCCCTGAAATTGCATTGGATACCTTCAACGCACAAGTGGACTATAGCTAGCTTTGTGTCGGTCCCATGGCTATATAAACGTTTGCCACTCTCACCAACAACCAACCAACATCATGTTCATCTGTGTGTGGATGGTGGACAAGGACAGGTGCATTTACCTGTGTGTGGATGGTGTTCAGCACTAAGAACAGGCGTGTTTACCTGTGTGTGGATGGTGTTCAGTAACAATGACAGGTGTGTTTACCTGTGTGTGGATGGTGTTCAGTAACAATGACAGGTGTGTTTATCTGTGTGTGGATGGTGTTCAGTACCAAGGACAGGTGTATTTACCTGTGTGTGGATGGTGTTCAGCACCAAGGACAGGCATGTTCACCTGTATATGGATGGTGTTCAGCACCAAGGACAGGTGTATTTACCTGTGTGTAAATGGTGTTCAGCACCAAGGACAGGGGACGCAATTTAGAGTGTAGTCCTTCTGTCGGCATTCTTCGTTATGATAGTTTCGGTGTTGAACAGACTTCGGAGCATATACTTACAGTATCGGAGTTGACAACAGCAGTACAGCCCCCGCCAGTAGTGGTGACGTCATCACCACCTCCTGTCCCGAAGAGCGCGCATGCGCCGTAGCCGTCAGCGATGATAAGCAAGATGGCGACCGCCACGAGGAAGAACAGGCCCAAGATGGCGACCATGATGCTTGTAGACAAGAAACCGGTGATCTGAAACATATTAGTCATTATTACTGTACAACATTTCACACACAAAAAAACACGCCTCTGCTCATGGGGCGTTGCCAAAAGAGCTAGGCATAAAACAACAGAAATGAGCAAAAAACAAGTTGAACACACTTACCCGGCATCCGTTGTCCGGAGTCTTGCCGCTGGCGATTCCAAAAGACCCAGCAATGATAGCCTATTGAACAGACGGTATGTTTAAAAGAAAAGTAATATCAAGTGGCCATGCATGGCTGAAGGAGGAATCAGATGTGAATTTAATTTTACATCATTGTGAATTTCTCGCTCATTTTGTGCATATCCAAGCCTGCAGACCATTTGCCCTCCATCTCGACATTGCTGTCAGTCTGTGGTTACCACATCCCCCCTCAACTCCTGTGATTCTACTGCATAAGAATAACGAACACGAAAGCAAGTAACCGAACAAAAAACCTCTATATACGGAGGTAAAACGTTTCAAGTTTTGTTGCTAACTGTACAATGCGACTGATGATCCTCTGTATTTGAAGTGCAATACTAGTATTCGTGACGTACCACAATGCCCGTGGCGAGCAGACTGTAGAGCCCCAGTGCGATGTGCGGGTGAACTGCAATCTTGAAGACGGGAACAAACATGGCGACCAGACTGACGGCCACGGACACGATGCCCAGGATCACCATGGTAACGCCCAATCCGAACGCCGTTCTCGCTCGGTATCCCATCGTCTGCAATGTAGATAGAGAAATTTGGGGTCGTGTGGGGTGGCGGTAGCGTGTTCGGCTCAGGAACAAGAGGTCCCAGGTTCGAATCCCGCCTGCAAGGGGGGGGGGGGTCCTGACAACACTCTACGCTGAATTCGGAAACCTCTCGATTACGCTTTACGATAAATTCCAAGTGGCTACAACGCATTACGTAGAATAAAAACGCCGAATACGCTCCACGCAAAAATATTAGAGCGGTCCGTCTACGCTCTACGTAGAATTAAAACGGCCGATCACGCTCTACGGAAAAGGGTTTGCGGGGCCCCCAATGTTACCGATCTTGTGCCCTTGGGAAAGGCACTTTACACGACAGGAATTGAGTACCTAGCTTCGTTTAGGGAGTTTTTAGGGACGTCCCTACGAAATATTTGAAATAATATATGTTGTTTTGAACACACCATTGTAGCTCGAAGAAACCATTAACATAAAGGTCTCCTTCTTACATATAATTAACGACAAACTAGAGTTAAGAATATAAATTACCAAACCTATAAAAAAATCTTGCTGTGAGTTCTTTCCAAACGCGCCACATGTGTCCTATCTTGGTGGCAACGTTTTGTTCGCTAACAAGGCAGTCAGATGAGTGGCCACATTGGACACAAAAGATTCGAATGAACGCCTAATCTAAACGTCATCACTTTCCGTGGCTGTCCTATTGCGCTGTGGTTGTCCAATCTGCCACAAGGACTTCAAATCAACAAGCTGGAAAATCAATTAGAGATAGTCCGGTGACCGCCGCTTCAAAGAACGACAAACTTCAAATCAGATGCCCTAAATACACGAAAAACCTATCATAGCCTTGCTATACATGATGTAGAGGCTAGAAACCCTTGAAAGTTCACGAAAAAGGCACAGACTTCAAATCAGCTAAATACACGAAAAAACCTAGTCTGTTTATACATCATATGGAAGTCTAGAAGCTCTTGAAATTTCACGAAAAGGCACAGACTTCAAATCAGATGCCCGAAATACACGAAAAACCTATCATAGTCTGGTTATACACATCCGATATCTAGAAACACGTGAAATTTCACGAAAAAGGCACATAATTCAAAGCTTTTGAATGTATTTAGTTGTCGTGTCGACAAAAAGTCGATTTCAGTCTTTTGTGTAGTCTTTTGGATTTACCCAAATTCAATGAGGGCAAACAAATATGGAAACAAAAGTCACCGCGGGCATTCTGTGTCAACTATGAAAGCTGTGAGCCATAATCTATTCAGTCACAAACAGGCCAGCTACTTTAAAACGATAGTCTTTACTGTGGAAGCAATCAAGTAATATGTAATTTTTCAAAGAGCATATGGGAGAAATCTTTCATTTTATAGGTCAAAATCTGTTCACTGGCGTACATCTGTTGTACGCATTCGTACATGATCAGATAGGTAATTAGGGCTAGAAAAACAAGCTTAGAATAATCATTCGACAAACTGTGAAGGGTAACGTTGTAGAAATGCTAAAGTTTAAGCTACGATATATTATAATTATGATCACGTTCCATGTTTCACATGTTTTAATACATAGCTAGAGATAGAAACAGTGTGTTATCAATGGCGGTAAACCACATAAGCATTTATTCTGATGCAGCAATATCGGATGAAATTTTGCGTCAATAAGTTAACAAAAATGTCTTTTATAAATTTTCAAGCCATCTCCTAAACACGTCCAGACTCTAAAGTAAAGAAGCGTAACCACCCACTCATGTCTGTAAGAATTCTGTAAGCGAAATCACACAAGATCGCCCACGGAGAAATGTGCAGAAAAATCTCCTTATTTTTCATAATCCTACGAATGCAACGACTTTAAGCAACTTCTTAGAACTCAACTCTTAACCCAAGGCCAAGACGGACTTTTCAAGAAGTCAAATATACGAACCTTACTGGAACAGATGTGTCTTGTGGAGGAATCTTCTTCCTAAGGAAATCCTGCTCGGGTCTGGATAAAGGAGACCAACTCGAGTTACCGTGGAGAGCGCAAACAAAGCGTGTCAAAAGGGCAGAGGGTTTACATTGTAAGGCGGGAGTCAGAGCAGCGTTCCTGCATGTGTAATGGGTGACCGCTGGTCTTTTATTCATGATGGAAAGGGCAGGGAGACAGAATAGGGACCGGGCAGTCGGAATGTTTCAGGAGGGCGTGGGTAGCCTCCACCAGGCTTCGGGAGGCGGCTGGAAAGAGTAGAAATTGGCGAAATCGAGAGATAACATGCCAAGGGAGTTGGTCCGCTAGAGAGTACATTTTGTCGCACCCGAAATGTACTTTCTAGCGGACCAACTCCCTCGGCATGTTATCTCTCGATTTGGCCGATTTCTACGCTTTTCAGCCGCCTCCCGAAGTATGATAGAGGCTAGGGGGTGGGCGGTGGTGGGTGGAAGGGAATATTTTTCTTTCGATGCGCGCAGAAAGCCCTCCTCCCCTTGCCTTTATCTTCTTTGACCTTGATCTTTGTCTCCCTCGGTTCTTTCCCCATATCTTCCTAATTGTACTTACATGTAGTTGGTGGTGCAATATAGGCTTAGGGCGGCGCCCATCTCCGGTTAATGAGTAGCACTTGAGCCACACAGTTGTGCAATAGCTAGCAGTGTGTACCGTACGTAAAATATGTAACTTAGTCCCTATGTTCACGGTACATGGGAATGCCATTTGCTAAAAGCCGTTAATCTAGATGTATCAAATCAGATTTCAGAAAACACTACACAGAGTTGAGTTCAATTTTGAGCGGCAGACGTACTGCAGTTCCCATTAAAACAGGTAGATGTCCTTTCATACAACGTACTAGTACCTTTCACACAACGTACCTTTTACACTGCACTCTCTATCTCTCTGAACTTCCTTTGAATGTGTAATTTAAGATAATTATAAATCATTCCTGTCCTTAAATGCCTCTGTAATAACCTCGTGCATTTTACATGGTGTTTTTATATATAACACACTTTGAAAGCACTTCATTCTATGCGTCAGACATGTCAAGGACAAACCTCCTTGAATAGACACAGGCTGTCAAGAGGAATATTACCGTGTAGGTGTCTTTATGCATTTTCTCTACAGTACGATAACAACATACAACGTGTACGATGGTGTGACTATGGGAAGAATAACAAAAGTGTTTTCGTGTACCTCAGAAATTCAAACTCAGTGAGCGGCCTGGCGCATCAGTGAGATAGTCTTTATATATAACACACATTGAAAGCCTTCATTCCGAATGCGTCAGGCATGTCAAGGAACAATAGACACACGCTGTCATAACAAATATTACCTTGTGTAGGTGTCTCAGTGTGCATCTTGTCTACCGTACGAAAACAACATGCCACGTGTACGTTGATGTGACTATGAGAAGAATAACAAAAGTGTTTTCGACTTTCGTGACATGTATGTAACAGTGGGGGGTTTATAAGCGCTACCAACTGAACCATCTGATGGGTCTAGATAGCCTCTACCAGGCTTCGGGAGGTGGATGGAAAGAGTAGAAATCGGCCAAATAGAGAGAGAACATGCCAGGGGAGTTTGTCTGCTGGGAGAGAACATTTTGCCGCACCCGGGAGCTAGGGTCTAGACCTTTTAGCCGAATCGTTAAGAGCGTCGGCGGGTGAACTGGTACCCAGGTTTGGCGTGGGTTCGATCCCGGCCCGGGACCAATAGTGTCTTTCTGTTTCTTCTCTCCTAAATTCTTACAGTTACTTTCTAGCAACTCAGTTTATAGTAGTTTGCTCAATATTGTGCCTTTAAACTACAACAGAAACGACAACAGACTGCCAAAGATCTAGCTGAAGGACAAAAGATCTCAGAAATTCAGATGCCAAAGAAAAGTTTGATCTAAACACGAAACTTTTAATCAGGTTCGAGATTTCAAGAGAACCAATCAGCGAACAGGAAAAGTGACCTTTGACCCTGCGTACGTGCAACTTCACCGGTAGACCAACAGACGTCACAAATAACTTAGTTTTCTTCTTCTAACGGGAAAAGTAGGACAGAAAATGTCGGCTTTTCGTGTAGCTCTATTTTCAAGACATGCCCTCAGGTGTTCAAGGAGTCTCTCAAGACATTACGCTGGTCTGGCGGTGCCGAATAATCGGTTCTTGTGGGAGAAGGCGCAGCCTACGCAAGTGTTCGTTCAGCAAGGTGGGAGGGGGGCGTGTCTTGAGTTGGTTTGCAGCAGGCACGATTTTGTAAAAGAATACGTAGGTGGTTGACGTAAAGATGACATATATGAAACCTCTACGAATGTAACTTGTAGAATAATAATCTGTACTCTCACTGTACATAGTTCTCACTAGGCTGTTTGAGCGTAGGGGCCCCCTACGCTGTGATTTTGACCCCCTACGCTGTGATTTAGTCCCCTACGCTGTGTTTAAACCAGCGTAGGGGTGGTTTTTGGGGGCAGAAGCTTCATTAATCTTTAAAAAAATGAAAATATAACTTAAGAATGAAGCTATAACAGAGGGAAAACAAAATCTGTCCCCCAATAAACAATAAATAGTGTCTTCAGTGGTTAATATGAGTTACAAAATTTTGGGGGGAGAATATCAGGCCCATGTTTTGGAGACTTGGTGCATGACTCGCGCCGCAGAAAGTTGCCCTTCTATACCTGACCCCTACGCTGTGAAAAAATCCTGGTGAGAACCCTGCTGTAGTTCCAAACAATTGTGTGTGTGTGTGTGGTGGTGGTGGTGGGTGGGGGTGGGGGGGGTA